TGCTGTGTCAATTGTATTTTTAAAAAATGACCCGTATATATAATCTCTCTGGAAGAAAAATCCAAGAACACAATAACAGGGGTAGCTTCTGCAGTAGGGAACTGCAAGGCTGAGAGGCATAAGAGGAAAACTTATTGTTCCTGTATATCATTATTTTTTATAAGATTGTATTTTTACAAAACATGGGCATTAATTACTTTTTCCAAAAAATTATGTCATATTTGACAGTTTTGTAAGTTTATGTATTTGAAGCCAAAAGGAAATCAAGGACCTCATAAATGTTACTTGAAATGATAAACATTCAACAGCCATGTATTTAACAATCCTATAAACTTGTCATAGCCCTATGCAATCTCGTTTGGATGTTCATGCACATCTGCGGTTGCAAAAGATACCTATACTTTCTGTTGGAAGGGGTATATATATTCCTCAGATATAAAATATGGGAGGAAACAGGAGCGTGAATCTTAAGCAGAACAAGGCCTTCGTAAGTGCAGCAAGACCCCTGCACATTTCATATGCCAGGAAAAGGGCCTCTGTGCCCAAGATACTTTGAATCTGCTTGCAAGGTTGAAATATGCCCTCGCTGTTCAACAAATAAATAAAAACCCTCTGCCAATAGACTCTACCCATCCTTAACTAGCTGATTTGGTCAGTGTTTTTCTGGCTCCATCAAATACATGTAAACGTGTCTTCCTTTAAGAAAATCCACTATTTGAATATGTGGATTTATAGAAAAAAAATGTGAAGGAAGGTCCACTGCTTTATTACGGATTCTTTCAAATATGAAAATAAGAAACATTTAAAAGTGATTCAATAACAAAAAATTATACAGAAATTTCAGGAACACCATCATTGAACACACAGGTACTCGGTAATTACTTGCTGGTTGGATGAACATACCTAGTGAAAATCAGTAGAGTGAAATGGATGAGAGCATGGGTTGGGATCCAGATATCCCTGTGTTTGGATTCTATCTCTGCCATTCATTAGCTGAGTCTGACCTTCAACAAGTGACTTAACCTCTCAAGGCCTCAGTATTTCTTACAGAAATAAAATGAATGACCAATGCCTCCCTAATAGTTAGTTATATTAAATGAAAGATATGGGCAAATAAAATATAGATATATTTTATCATGTATTATAATATCATATATTATTTCCTTCATGTAATTTCTGCCTGATTAGGAGCAAGTAAGAATGAATCATAAGTGCTGTTCTATTTTCAGAGATATAATATAGGTAACTATATATAAATATAATTACATATACGCATAAGTATATAGCACCTGCACAATGCCTGGCACATAGTAAATGTTTGGTAAATGGTGGTTCCTATTGTGAAAAGTAACACAAAATACTCTGAGAGTTTGACTCTTCATTTTCATATCCACAAAGACCAATTTTGTGTACCACATGCCAGTACATTTCATGTCACTGTACAGGGAGGGGCAAAAGAATTTGTGTCACTGAGATTTTTGTGGCCTTAACATTATGGGAAAACATTTAACAGGTATGTAAGTGAATTGTGGCAGAGATTCCACTTGTAAAATGGCTAACATCTATTGAGTGTGTGATGATTAGTCATTCTGCAGAGTAAATACTGTGACTTAGTATCCTCTCCAAGGATGGCCTGCTTCCTACTTTCTTCATTAAAAATATTAAATGTAAATGTTTTATTGAATTTCCCAGACTAGAATAGAATAGCAGGTATTTGGAGTGGGAAAGGCAAAAATGGTACAAATTGCTTCAAACTTAGAGACTAAATGAACGTGCTCCCTCGGATGACCAAAGGTTTCTTCCTTTTCAGTTTTCTGGCTTTTTTTCCCCTTTCCTTCTAGCACTTCGAGTTTGTTTAATAAAGTTGAGAATTTTCACAAAGGGCCTTATGAACACGTGTTATTAGATTTTAAATCTGATTTGAAAGTGCCTCTCTCCTCCTCCCTGTGAGTAAAGTGACCTTTTTAAATGGAGGGAAGTGGGTTTAGATGACAGTCATGATAAATGCGGTCATGTTCACTCAATAAAATAAGGCCCAGTGCATTTGAGGATAAATCAGTGAAATGTACAGCCCCACCTGTCTGTCTCCATCATTCATTTCCACTGTCACTTTCACAGTGGCTGATGGATCACAGTTGCTGTAAAATTAGACAGCCTTTAATCTCATTTCATCCTGATTAGCTTCTCTTTACCCTTTCCCTCTAACTCACTGACTGACACGCTAAAAACTCACACCGGGCTGTATATGAACAGGGAGTACAAACTTCTCCTCCGGTACCTGCTTGTGAGGGCGAGGCCGGCGAGCATCCCTAGAGAAATCTGGAAGGGAGAGGGCATGTCTTCCTTGTTATTTAAAAGATAATCAATAATTGCGGTACCCAGTGCCATTTTAAGCAGATGTTTTCTCTTGATCACTGCCCTCTTTATTTTGCTTTCGTTCAGGTTTAATCAGAAGCCAAAGAAATGAGGTCTTTTGCAAAACTCAAACATTGATTTCACATCGATTTTTTTCTAATAGATTTGGAGCGTTTTACATTCAGGATAATCCCCAAAAGTTATCTGTGTGTATTTGTAGCCTCTCAATTCAGAAGAGTTGAGTAAATAATAAATCAGAAGAGACAACAATTCAGGAATGAAAATGCTGAAAGAGCCAAGAAATATAGCATACAAGGTTTTAAAACAAGAGTAAAAAGGGTAGATAAATGAGAATATCTTCAAGCAGCCTTTATGTTAGCATTTCAAAGACCTTCTCGTATTTTGAAGGTTTCAATAGTTAGTTTAGTGCAATAGTTTTGTTTGTTTGCATAAAGCATAACAATAGCGGTAATCAAACGAGAAAGAGGCTTAAGAATAAATTATGTATTCTTTCCTTCACTTAATTTCTGCCTGAATGGGAGCAAGTAAATGGACAAACACAACTGTTGTTCTATTTTCAGAGTCTGTGCTTTATTATAAAGCTGGACTTCCGGTTAAAAAGAAGATAATACGATTTTTTATTACTTATAAAATGTGGGCATTGAACTGACCAAAAATTTTAAATAAATATTGGAAGACTGGTAGTCATAAAGTAAGTTGGTTGTATCAGTGGCCGCTGTTCTTACACGCGTGTCTCATATGAGTATATGCTTACAGGTGACAATGCTGTAAGTTTACTGCCCAGATGGCATTGTGATAAACCAGAGTAGCACCAGGCTGTTCACAAAATGCACAATATACATAATATATGGGTAGCATAGCTTTGTGTTTGGTATAATCCAAACAATGATGAGTTAATTTAAGAAAAGAAAAAAAGATGTTCCAAACACATCCAGTCGCCCAATTTTAGTTGCTGCGTGAACTCAACATATACTCTGCCCCAATGGACTCTGAGAAGTGATGCCTGCAGGAGCTATATGGTTAAAAGCATTTTCCAAAGAGATAACTAAGGGTTGAGGGGCAGAAGGACGTTGCTGAGGTGACTCCCTAAATCAGTTGACCTCATTCATGGGCCACACAAATCCATGGCACACCCAATTTCTACATGATCCCGGAAATCCAGGGTTTCCATACCAATGTCTTCTCCCTTGTGGCTATAAGTTCGAAAATAGTGAATATTCACAGTAAAAGTGAATACATAATAAAATAATGAAAATTCCTAAAATCTTTCAATATGAAGCTTAAACGACCTGATTTGCTCTTTCAGAAGTTGTGTTACAGGTTTCAAAGCTATGCCTGTTTCTCCTTATTTTTGTTTACATATCTTAGCCAGCATAAGCGCATTCTGAGAAAAAAGATAATAAAAACAAAGTGAAATGAGATATATATCATCCAAAGTAAATTGGGTATAAGATAGGCTCTTTCTCTCTCTCTCTCTCTCCATTGGCAAAAGAGTACAGAGTACAAGCTGGCCCTGACTCATATTGATTTCCCACTGCACTGGTTTCTTAAGTGCTCTGTTGATCCGTGTCAAGCAATAAGTTCCCTGCCTGAACATGCATATCACCTCCCCATTTGTCCTCACCTAGATTTAAGGTGCCCATATGATGAGCTGAACAAGGACATCATTTTTCCTACTGGTGTCACTGGGCCCAAACCACTGCCTGTGATATGATAACGAACGCTGTGTAAGTTTACATTCACCATATGATATAATAATAGCAGAGACTGACACTGCACTGCACACGGGGTGACGGGGGTGTCCTATTCTTGTTGTGTGTGTCCCCAAAGAAAATGTAAATGAGAACAGATGCAGCGAAACCTTTGGTGGGTTTCTGAATCACTCCGCCCTCCTCACAGCCACCACATTTGGGGCAGAGCAGGGCAGGACGAGGGGAATGGGTATTTATGACGTTCCTGACAGTTTTTATCTTTGTTCCAGAAGAGCTCTTAAGCAGATAGATAGAAAATGCGTGATTGTGCTGCTAATGACATTGTACAGGAAATTAAGCGTATACATTTGGAGAAGGCATTAAATCAGCAGGACCTTAATTTAAAAACTTAACACTGTATGGAAATTCAGCTTGCTCGTTGCTGTAGAATAGAAAGCAACCAAGCACCCTGAGTCTGTTTGTGGAAAGATTGCCAGCGAGCCAAGTTTGGGCAGAGCAGCTTAATGGCTCCAAGTGGATGCTGGGTTATTTCTTCCAAGCAATAACCCCAGCCCCAGCCCTGACCATTTGGGAGTGTCAGTCATGGTTGTAGACTGCACGATCCCCACCATCAGGCAGGTGAGGAGGACTTAAGAATTGAAAGCAGCCCGACAGGTTGTTCTTGACTAATTTGCAGAATAACATTATGTAAAATTAATCAAAAGGGGTGGGGTTGGCAATTGCTGGGAACACACCGCTGAGCCACTGTGGATTGGTGGGTGCCCCACTCTGCTTGTCTATGTGCTTTTCTTCCTTCTGACTTAGTCTCACGTTTTATACATTTTGGTGAAAGCACATAACTAGTGAGCCAAGGTATCAAGTCCTAAGATGGAAAATTTTATACGTCTTTTTTTTTTTTTTTCTCAATTCCAGTTATGCCATACAACAGTGCCCATCACTGCGTTGTGGAGGTGGAAAACTTCCTGTTTGTATTGGGTGGAGAGGACCAATGGAACCCTAATGGTAACTATTGAACCACTTAACAGTAGGTGCTCGACACGTCTGTGTGTGATGAGGGGTGCCAGCGGCAGTCCATTTTGTAATTACCGTGGAAAACATATTTCTGTGCAGCAGGGACAAACGAAGTAGTCGGTGAAGTGGGCTGGCAGAGGACACACGCAGCAGTGCATTCACTCATGGACTATCTGGGGATTTGGCTCCACCGTGATGCCCAGCCCCTCTCCTGATCCATCCCCTGAGGAGTGCCACCAGTGTAAGCCCAGACTCCCTCAAGGGAGGTAGCAAGCGGCAACTATTAAGAATTCTCACCACCTTCTCCACCACTTTTCTCCCATTTTATCAGGATAATAATATGCAGTTTCAATACATAAGCGTTATCTGCTGTCACGCTGTACATGACCTGAGCTGAAGTGCCTTTGCAGCATTTATTACTTGACACCTGTTCTGGCTGCTGCATCTTCTGCAAGGGCTTCGTCCACAGGTTATCCACCATCTTCCCTGTTGATGCGATTTCTTCATAATTGTATCACAAAGAGAAAGTCAACATTTGAATACACTTCCCAAGTCTAATGTAGGGAGTACACTGCGCCTTGCAGAACACGCAAAATTATCAAGATATTTTTGGAAATCTTGCACGTGAAGGAGGGGTTGCAGTTGTAGCCTTCTGTGTAACAGAGATCATTATGAGTGAGAAACCATAAAACAGCTTGCAGGTACACATTTTTGCTTTAAAACCCCAGAACAGCCAGCTGAAATTACATATACTGCATATATTTTATGGTGAATGTTCTCTTTCAGCATCTGCACAAAGGTAAATTATAGAAAATTGTTACATCTGTTCACTCTAGAAAATCTTAAAGGAAAACAACCCAGGCCACCCTCCAAGAACATTTCTTTGAAGGGAAAGGGACATTCTTTCTCCAGATCAGCTCTGTTGGTTCATATCTTTCAGTTTTGGAAAGATGGTTCCGGGGCTTTGGGAGAAACAGATTTGGATCAGGAACTGAAATATTTAGTATCTCTCCTCTAACTTATCTTTGCAATGACTGATTTGATATGTTAAAACAAAACAAAACAAAAACCCTGGCCAATATACAACCCACTGTAAACTCTCCATTTCCTGTTTAACCGCTTCTTCCGAGGAAGTGATTTGAACAGAATAGAGCGTTTGTAAGGAAACAGTAGACAGGGCTGGAAAGTCCTGTTTCTTTCCTTTTTTTTTTTTTTTTTTGGTCGTACTGTGCGGCACATGGGATCTTAGTTCCCCATCCAGGGATAGAACCCCTTGCAGTGGAAGCGCAGAGTCTTAACCACTGGACCACCAGGAAAGTCCCATGGAAAGTCCTGTTTCTAATGATGGTCCTTTCTCAGCCCACCTCTGTTCCCACGTGGGATAAGCCTCTGCTAAAAGACCAGTCTTGGGGCGACAACTCAGTTTTCACAAATCACTATGAACCTCCCATTCCTGTGAGACAGACATTAATCAGCAACACAGAAAACCCACTCCCTGGGTTTACCCCTGCCCCCCACCCCTGCCCAAAATAACCTGCCACTGCTTACTGTTCAACTTCTATCAGACACACAACCGAGAGGATGGGTGGGGGGATTAGGGGCGAGTATAAGGGACATATTCCTTCCTCTAGTCTAGAGAATCGAGATTTTATCGTTGAGCTAATTCAGATTCCCATAAAACTACGCCATTGGACCTCACTGATTTGCCTCCCCCCGACTCCTGAGAGGAGCAGTGATTCAGTTTAAATCCCTCAACAAATATGCTGTGAGGAAAGACTACAGAAAGCACAGCATTGCATTTCCTGTGGGGGCACCTTTCACTGCCACCACTCAGCGTGCTCTATGGGAAGACCTGCGTGACAAGTCCTTGTCAAACCAAAGTACTGAGGCATGGTGTGCTTTGAACAATTACTTCTAACGCCAATCATATGATTTAATGTGTCTCTTTTGCTTTAGCCGCCAGGAGGCTCAAAATTGAACTTCAGTAAAACTTTAATTACTATATTTTGTTTACTTTTAGTCTCCATACGGGCCTAGCAGCTCACAACTCTCTCTCTCTGTAAGACCCTTATTTAGAACTTTGGGAGTTCCACCTGCAAATCTGAGTCATTCCGTCCCTGACTTGTTTCGCCTTTGAGGTCATTTATTATAGATCGGGGTAAGTGCTGATGAGCCACTGATTAGCATCTCCTAAGCACAGGATAATTGGTCACACTGTGAGGCAAGCAGGCCAGTCTCTTGTACCTCATGTCAACCAATCAGTCATTGGCTGAGGCCTTCCCCCAGGTGGGGGTGAGGGTGGGCAGTGAAGTGGCCTGTTCAGCTGAGGGCAGTTCTCTAGAGAGGGAGCAGCTGTGACCATGAACAACCAACAACCATCAGCTAGGGAACAGGTGTACCAGTCTGGTAAAAGTATCTCAGCTAGGTACCAAAACACACATCCACCACCATCCCTTAAATGGTTTCCATGGACTTTCATATTCCATCCATCTGGTCAACCACAGCTGACCGTTTTGGTATTAGTCGTAGTATTTATTGAGTAGTCATTATTTCCCAGGAACTTTGCTAAGCACTCATCTGCATCATTTCACTTAATCCTCACAACCATCCTATGAGGCCTGTTGCATGATTGCTCTAGCTTTACTATGAGGAGTCTAAGCCCTAAGAGTTTAAACAACTTTCCAGGACACACAGCTTGCAAGAAGATGAGTGATTCCAACGTAGGTCTGTGTGACTCCAGAGCCTCAGCCTTTAACCAGTGTATCACACTCGCCACCTCACATAAACATACGTATTTAGTTAGATACTAAACAACAATTGTGCATTTGCCTTTGATCTTGTGAAATTAAATCAGTATTGTATCACCATGGACAGTGGCTCTTACTGGCTCCCAAAGAGCTCTTCATTATTTCCCATTTAGAAAACCATGAAGGGACACCATCATCTCAAAAATATAGGATTTTCATTTTATAATACCTCATACAACTAAAAAGGAAGCAGTTAATACCAAAACTTATAAAGAACAGCAATCCTGGGCTTCCCTGGTGGCGCAGTGGTTGAGAGTCCACCTGCCGATGCAGGGTCCGGGAAGATCCCACATGCCGCGGAGCGGCTGGGCCCATGAGCCATGGCCGCTGAGCCTGCGCGTCCGGAGCCTGTGCTCCGCAATGGGAGAGGCCACAATGGTGAGAGGCCCGCGTACCGCAAAAAAAAAAAAGAAAGAACAGCAATCCTATAATAATATACAACATGCTTTAATTTCACTACTGACAGGGAGGAAGAATTTTAAATCCATGAGTTTAAATGTTATGTATACATCAGTTCCAAAGATGAAATCTTAAGTTAAACTTTAGTTCTTATGAAAATGGTGCCTGAGATGCATGTCTTGGAATGAAATACAAAAATGTACATTTCAACACATGCTCATAAAACACAAATATGTACTCATAAAATACAAATATCATTTTATTTACTGATTATCTTGATTACAGGACCAAAATTTGAAATCATAAAACATATGAGTTACTGGAAATATAAGCAGGATACATACATTTTGTTTCTACTCAGCTATAGATATTAACTCCTATTAACTCCCTTCATGTCATTAGTGATAGACTGCATTGTAATATGCTAATATACATGCATATATTCCTTCAGTGCTCCAACTTACAGAGAACCAATTTACATTTGTCACTTACTGATGATTGACTCCCAAAAAAACTGCCTGCAGGTGATGTCCTTTTCATCCTGCTTCCTTCCCCTCCACCACTGGCTGAAAACTGCCGCCCCTGCCCCATTTTACCTATCTCCCAAATGATAGTCAACAACAGGGTCTGGTGACAGGACATCATCAAAAAAGGGAAGAAGTGGAGGAAGGGTTAGAAGAAAATGGAAAAGATGAGAAGAAACCAAAGGAGTGAAGAGTAATCCAAAATTCTATTGCATGTGGCTACCCCTCTTAGGCTTCTAAGTAGTGTCGATGAAAGCCACAAGGAAGAAATGAATATCCCCATTTTATCTCAGTTTCCTCACTCTACCACACTCATTCCTTCTGACATTTATTATCCCCTCTGCACATCCTTTGCCAACTTTAGAACATTTTTCTTCTTTTTATCTTCCCATCCTCCATCCTTGCCCTTTTTTCACACCATTGACTCTGCCTCTGGAAACCCTTTCTTCATCTTCCATCGAAATCACACCAGTCCCTGCTTAGCCTTTTCTCTGAGTGAAGGCCACTGGCATTCCCACCAATAAGCAAAGCAAATAGCTGATTTCCACCACCAGTGCTCAGCATGTGACAGCATCTGTCCCATTGCTGAAAGGAGGCAGATGTCTTCCTCCAAATGGAAATTCTAAACCAAACTTCACAGAGAAACACTCTTATACATGGCGTGTATATTCTACATTCCTCTTACCAACACTGATCTTCAGATACATTTGGGAATTAACCTTGAAACCTGACTATCAAGAATGGTTTTTTTCTACAGGGAGATGATTGCAAATTCTACGAAAGCTTACTTATAAACCAACTCTAGACATAATCCTTTCTTGGGTTGGAGCCTCCCTTTGTGGGATCCAAGTCTTTTGGGTCATACTCACTCCTGGCACTCTTAACTCCTTCTGCAATCCCCAACTCTTACTGTAATCCCCAAATAAAACTTGACTTACCACCCAACCAGGCCATCCAAACCCTCCCATGCAATCCTTGGAACTGATGATCTCACATCAGCAAGATCCCTATAATCCTTAAACTCTTCCCTAAATGGTCCCTTCAGCTTCTTTTCTAATCAAAGCCTGGCTATTCTCTGAGAGGACTGTTTTCCCAGCCACCTCTTCAATGGGGACTAGGTTCTGTTCCCCACCCCCGCCCTTATATTTCACATTATTGGAGGCCGATAGCTTTTCTACTTCTTCTTCATTGCCACTCCCACATCCTTAAAACTCACCACTTTAAAGGATGTCTTCAGATTTTACCACCTGCTGCCCCTTTATGTGGCAGCTACCCACTGTTATCCTGCAAATGCCACCTCCTTCACTCTACCCTACCACTTTTTCATTGTCCATCATCCCCTCAAGCCCTTACTTCCCTCCTTACTGAGCTTATATTCTGTTGCCCATCCTTATAATCACATTAGTGCATACACCTGCAGCCCTCGTGTCCTTCTCTCCTATGATACTTGCCTGGTAAAGCCCTGGTCCTGGTTAAACCCAACTTTCTTCCACCTCTCCCCTCCCCCTGAGCAACTAAATGTGGACATAGAAAACCATACGGCCATGCTGGCTACTAATGAACCATGCTGGCTACTAGCCAACTCCACTAAGTTTCCCTGGTCAATGCACTCTTCCACCCTCTGAGTTAATTATTTCACACCTTCTCTCTCCTCAGATACCTTTCTCCAAAACCTCCCTCCTCACTCTCAGCTGATAGCCTTGCTTTTTAGTCCAATGAGGACAGAAGCAATCAAAAGATAAAATCTGCATCTTGCTACTACCAAATCCATTGCTACCCGTATATTTTAGATAAAACATATCTCTCTTATTACTGTTTCTGCTCCAACTTAAAGCCTATTCCTCATTCCCTTTTGCCTACTCAAGGACTTTGGGGTACTTCGGAATTGAAAAACACAACCAAGAACTAAATAAAATTTTCTCTCGATGCTGCATCTTCCTGCTATAATCTTCTTTTCATGTCAAAAGTCCTAAGAAGCATTGCTTATCCTCTTGCCTCTGCTTTCTTACATCTTAGTCTCTCCTGAGGAGTCCCCACTCAGGCTTTCATGCCCTCGTGTCCACTGAAACAGTGCTTGTCATGGTCACCACCAACCCCCATGTTTCCAAATCCTATGGTCAGTTCTCCGTCGCTCACTCCTCTTTTCCTCCTGCTTCTGACAACTCCTTTTCTTTGCTAGTTTTTCTTCTTCTCCCCCAGGGCTCATTTCCAGCACTCATTATCTTCCATTTCCATACCCTTTCCCTAAAGAGTTTCATCTTGTTCTTTGATTTTAAACAGTATCTCTTGACTAATGACTCCAAAATTTGCACCTGCGGCCTCATTTAGCCAGTGGCCTACCAGCCACTTATGCTTTGAGATCCGATAGTCCTCTCAAGGTTAAATCCAAAACAGAACTCATGGCTTCTCTCCCTAACCCCCCAACTACCCCTGCCTGGTCTTCCCCACCTCGGCAAATTGCATGACATTCCATCCAGTTCCGCTGGCTAAAAACCTAGCAGTCGTCTTTAATTACTCACTTTTTCTTATACCAATGCTCAATCTATCAGAAAATTGTATTGGCTGTGCCCACAGAATAGATCCCAAACTCGACCATATCTTGCTTCCACCTCCACTCAAGCCAGCTCTTGCCTTGACTGTTGCGATGGCCTCGTGACAGGTCCCCCACTTCCTGAGCAGCCCTTGTATGGTCTAGTTTTTTACACAACAGCCAGAGTGATCATGATAAGAGGTAAATTAGGCCATGTTTCTCATTTGCTCAAAACTTGCCAGTGACTTCCTAATGTTCTTATGACAAAAGACGAAATTTGACACCAGTCCACAAGACACACCGTGTCTGGACCTTGATATACTTCGACTTCTGTCCAAGTCACCCCAGCATTCTTGCTGGTTTTGAATGCATGGCCAGCCCAGGGACTTTATACTCACCTTCCCCACTGCCTGAGACGCTAATTCTGCAGATATTTGCGTGGCTTGCAGAAGATATCTGTGAGCAGGTGACCACCCTACTGAAACTGGCTTCCCCTCTATCAATCCCTGCTTTATTTTTCTTTCTGGCATTTGGTAAAGAAAATATAGCATTATTATATATGTATTTATTTACAAGTCTGTGTTTATTTATTTACAAGAACGAGGACTTTGTCTTTCTCGTTTACCAGCATATTCCCAGAACCTAGAACACATAAGACACATAGTGAGCGCTCAATATATATTCTTGCAATTAATAATTGTGTTGTGTATACATGCCCGTGTGAGTGCGTGTACACACACACACACACACACACACACACACACACAATCCTATCTGTTTATTCCCGTGGTGAAGTTTGGTACTTATATTTCAATGGTTACACATACATTAATGAAAAACATACTTTTAGAGTTAAGCCTTCAGGCGCTTTAGATGACTATCATCTCAGTTGCTACACAGAAAATGGAATACACACTTTTGCTCCTATTTCTTGCTTTGGTGTCAATCTGTATGTAAAACAAGATTCATTTTCATACCTTGGAGGCATTACTGTGTTTCTTAGGCTCAACAGAGGAGATAAGCTGGTTAACCAGCTCTGAGGACGCATGTTTCCCATTTCAGTAAATGTACTTGTGATACATCACAGCAACTGTGCTTTCCCCAAATGCACAAACAGAACTTGCATGACGGTCATAGCCTACAACTGATTTCCTAATGCAAACTCTTATGGTAGTGATTGCTATTGTTTCCCTGGAGACAGAGTGGACTCTTCCACTGCTAGAATTCTTGGATCATTTAGAAAAAGGTTCTATCCAGAGATATCACACAAGTTAGTCTCTGGAACTGATTATGTATAGACAATAACTTCATGTTTTTAAAACCTATAAACACCAAAATACAGAAATTTTACCCTACCTTTGATAGTCTGATAAACATACTTGCTTTTATTATTATGGTTGAATTATTTTTATTCCAACTCATCCCCACCCCACAGAAAAAGTGGAGGAGAAAAGAAGAAAAAAAGGAAAAACGTTTGAAGAGGCACATAAATTTTTCTTCTGACTTATCACTTCTCATACTGTGTTAGATAGTCCCTCTACTTAAATCTACTTAATTCATCTGTTTCTTAAACCTGAGAACAGAGGCATCTTATAAAATACTTTTAAATGTGCAAAACAACAAAGGAATTTAAGTTTTAAGTGTCTCAAATATATTTTTACAGGAAAACACAGTACAAATTTTGTCAGCAGATATGATCCCCGATTTAATAGCTGGATACAACTTCCGCCCATGCAAGAAAGGTAAGTGTCTATTTCTTAGGTCTGAAACATTTGTGGCTGCTTTACTGGAAGCAAGGATGCTGAATGGTTTTCCATGATAAGGTACGCTAAACAGAGCCAGTGAAAGTCACAGGAGTCAAATACAAAACCTGGCCTGGCCAACTTAGACTAACTGCCTTATTAACTCAATGGAAAAAATAATCAAATAAGTCAATTATTTGTCCCAATGGAGGAAGAAAAAATTTGTATGACTTGTCTTCCTTTTTTTGTTACTAGTTAGAGTTCACTTTTTTATTGAAGTATAGTTTCTATACAATATAAGTGTACAATATAATGATTCAAATTTTTAAAGGTTATACTCCATGTATAGTTATAAAATATTGGCTATATTCCCTGTGTTGTACAATGTATCCTTGTAACTTATTTTATACCTAATAGTTTGTACCTCTTAATCCCGTACCCCTATCTTGCCCCTCCCCCCTCCCTCTCCCAATTGGTAACCACTAGTTGGTTCTCTATATCTGTGAATCTGCTGCTTTTTTGTTATATTCAATAGTTTGTTGTATTTTTTGGATTCCACATATACGTGATATCATACAGTATTTGTCTTTCTCTGTCTGACTTATTTCACTTAGCATAATGCTCTCCATGACTTGTCTTCCTTTTCCACGTCGAATTGGTTTTTGCTTTTTTTTTTTGACAAACAGAGCTACAATTTCACTGGCTATTCCACTCTTCTTAGTTATAATATATTTAAATCTTATCATTGAAATATAAAACACCATTCTCACAATGATATGTATATACTTTGATGTAGAAATTTCAATATTGAAGTTTTTAGGTCTCACAATCTCAAATTCATTGCATTTACCTCCTCAAATATCTCCCCATCATACATTCAAAAACAGTTGATTTGTTAGCTTAGAAATAAAAGAGTTTTGCCAAGTGTCCTCTCATTTTTAATGTGTGCAGTGTTTATCTCAGCCAGTTCTCCTAGTATCAAAGGACAATAAGGCAACTATGTTTATACATATTCAGTTCTCCTGACTGTTACTTAGGCAGGACACCATGTCTTAATATGCGCATGTAAATTCACATACTAAAGTTTGAACACTTGGTTCTTTTCAAATAATATCTCAACATCCTCTTGAGCAAATTTTCCAATATAATAGTAAGGGTAAGCTGCAACCTGTTTCCTCTTCTCGATTGGACTAAGAAATAATTTTCTTTCTTATTTCCTTCCTAACCTTAACATCTCCTTCTTTAAACATTTAATCAGATTACCCTGAGATCAAGCTAAATCCTTAATCATAAATTCAAAGTTAAAAAGAAATTTTCAACTCATACCATTCCTCAAAAAGGTACATTACTACAGAAAGAGAGTATGAATCTCTGCTATAAAGAAACAATATCTAACTTCCCATTCCATATAAGCATATTAAAACTCTCTTTCAGGAGACTAAAAGCTATACATTGAAAATGATGAGGCACAATATAGTCTAAGGACCATAGACACTGTTAGGAATGTCTAGCTGCAAGGTACCTCAAGAAATTATTCTGAGTCAGTTAATACCCTGACAGACTTCTCAATCCTCCTGTTGTGTATACATGTATATATAAAAGCCTCTCCTGATGTCTTTCTCCAAAGTACCTTGTTTCTCTCCTTTTGGGGTTATTTTCTAGTTGCTGTTATTGTAGCTGCATCACTTTACCCTTTCATCAAAACCATCCCAAAAAATTTTGTTAAAAACACATTTTAAAAATACACATCAATAACATGTTTGAAATGTCAGCATCTCATCACTATGGTCGCCTTTGCTGGGGGCTGTTCACCACGATAATTAACCTTCACGCCTTGGGTTTGGGAGGCATAACTCACGTCACGGTCAATTATCTCACTGTAGAGCCCCTAAGGATGAGAAGTATTGCTGCAAAACCTAATTAGTAATTTTTTAAAATGTGTATTGTTTACTTGATATTCTATAATGACTTCCTCTGAGGCATTATGGCCTATCATGGCAGGGTCCTACTTAGACAATTTTTAGCAGCTCATTGACCTGATAAAAAGACCTGCCATGGTCTGTCGGCGCCTGGCAGCCACTGTTGACAGGATGGACTGTTTAACGTTTCTTTCGAAGTCATTATGGTATATCATGTCAGGTCCCTAGTAAAGGAAGTTTTTTTTTAGATTTAGAACAATCAACTCGATAGACCAAATAAAGAGCTCCTTCCAGAGCTGAATGGGAAAAGGCAGATCTCACAAATGCCCAGTCAATCTTCTAGCTCCATATCTCCTAGGGGTTGGTTGACCTAGGCAGCAATCCATAACTGAAAATGAAATTTTTCTGTCATCGCCGAGCTTCCATTCAACATAGCAAGTACAGTTAGCTACCAGCATGGTTTAATTGGTGATTCAACAAAGAAGGGAAAAAATACTAAAATATATGAAATACTCTTCAGATCAGAAAAGAGGTTTCTTGAGACATTTAATTGAGTTAATTTTGCATTGTATAGATCATTAGTCAAACTCACCAGAAGTTTCCCACCTCCCTCCTTCCATTAGCTGCTGCCTAACTGCTGAGAAGTTACCAAACTGATTGAGAATAATAGAAACACGTTGAAAGCCAACTCTGGGATCACCCACTCTCATAGAGCTGGCTGGGCAAATTCCTAGGATTATCTTACCTAATCAGAGCTTCCAGAAGAATATAATAAAAGTGCAGAACACCCTCCCAGTTCAGCAGAGAAATGGGCACGTGACCTCCAGGCTCACTCAACCATAGGTCAACTCAAGAGTTGTATGCCTGCTGCCTATGAGGTTACTGACAGAAGTGATTAGACAAAAGTACAAAGATAAATGTAAAGCTATGAGTTGTTTTGCTCTCAGATCTAGGATTTGATTCTTCAGTAAGAAGAGGGCAAAAATGAACACTTGGATCAATAAAAATGCTTTGGTGACTTTAATGTTGTTTTCAAAAAAAGTAGACATTTTAGGTATTATTCTTGTGGAGATATTACCCCTTAGCTAGTCTTCGAAACAGAAAAGAAAAAGAAGGGAGGGAGGGAGAGAAAAAGCCATTTGGAGAGCACCAGTAACAAAGCTTAAGTTTCACAGACTAGGTGAAAAGCTGGAAGCAAATACAACAAAGATGTTTCCAATTTTAAATGCTATGTTTCTAGCAGCCTTACAAGAAACAATGGGAGACAATATTGTGTTTTTAAAAATCTGTTTTTAACCTGATGGTAGAAGTCAAAAGTTGAAACTGAGATACAATCTCAGTTTTCTGACCTAAGGGTCAGAAAGAACTTTTAAAGTTCTTTAAACACAGGTTTAAAGTATATTTGTAGAGGTCATTGGTAGTTTTTTTAAACTTATCTCAATTCATTGAATATCCTCTCTGGCATTGGGACAGGGGGTGGAGGGGTGGAGGAGGGAGAGAAGAACAATTTGTAATACAAATAGTGTAATTCCATTAAAAAATCTTCAATAATCTTGAGCTTCCTTTTTCCCCCCCCCCGAAATAAAACAGCCTAATCAGGTGTGCTCTTCATGTGGGTAGGTCGGGCAGGAAGCTTTTCAGGAGAGACCTGGTATGGTAAAATTTTAGCCTCGAGCAAATGTTCACAGTTGCTGATAGACCATTAACTATCCAGTGTTTCTATAATGCATTTCGTGAATTCTCACTTTGGGCATGCAAGGGAATAAGTCAGAGACTCAGAACCTTCGTTATTAAAATTTCTGCATAAAAATGCACTTTTAGTCAGGAAGTGAAACCTACTGATTTTTTTTCCCCCGTTCAGAACCTAACAGTGACACTGTGTGGATAAAGCTAGGAGTACACGGAGCATCAGATTAAGAACACCTGGGCTAAAAATTGAGAGTTCCAACAGGCTCCCTCGGGTTAAGAGAGGAAGGAAGGAACCAGAACAGAAAGAGTGAGAAAACTGAACTTTAGACAAGATAAAAGGAGTTCACACTGCCAAGAGAAGATCTTTCTCGTATTCTCCACTATCTAAACTTCATTAAATAGAGGATTTTCATACTTGTCATGACTAACATTTTTCTCTTCTAAACCGGAATATGGTACATAATACATAGAAGAACTCAGAATATAGTATGTTACCCACATGGTCCAAACTATGGGATTGGCCCACTAAAGATAGCCTATTAGTAAAATTAGTAAATTAATTATTTCAGACGCTCCAAAACCTGTCATAGAATCATATGGAAGAGGGATACTGACCTACCCTGGTGTCAATGATGCAAAGAAATATCTGTGTTACTTTAGTACAGATTTTTGTAGACATGAGTCGGTCTTTTCAATCAAATATTTTAACTTGAGAAGGTAAAAGCGCTAGTAAAATAACCTTGACCTATCATATTCAATAAGAGAGCAATTGAAATCTGGTTAGAGAAATGGAAGGAACCAGTGGTCCATCTGTGTGCACTTAATTTTGCTATTGTTATTAAACCTAATTTTATATTTAGATGAGTTTTTACTTCTTTACACCAGGAAATCCCATATTTTTTAGGTTGTTAATCCCCTTGATAATATGATTAAAAACTTCCCCCCAAAATCTTTCTCCAAACATATTCCAAAAATGCACATATATACATATATATATATATATAATATATGACATTTTATTAAAAAATTCTTTTTACAATTTCAGAGCTTCATATATCCCTCAGAAGACATGGGCCCAGGATAACAACAACCCTTATTTAATGAAATCTATCTCACTTGCTCTTTATTCTCCTTCCTAATTTTATCCTTCTCTCATTTTCCTTTCATCATCTTTCTGTGTTTTGCACAGCACCTATTTCTTTCAAAACCGTCAAGAAAATATAGGGGAAAAAAAACATAGCCAAAATATTACTCTCAAGCTACCAATGATGCTAACAATTCTAGGACTATCCAGAAAAACTGAACCTTACGATCTAGCGATCCCACTTCCGCATATACTGTATCCAAAGGAACCAACATCAGTAACTTGAAGAGATATCTGCACTCCCGTGTTCATTGCAGCATTATTCACAAGAGCCAAGATATGGAAACAACCTAAGTGTCTGCTGACAGATAAATAGATAAAGAAAATGTGGTGAATATATAGAATGGAATATTATTCTGCCATAGAAAAGAAGGAAATCCTGCCATTGGCATGACAAACATGGATGAAACTGAAGGTGATCGTGCTAAGTGAAATGCCAGACTGAGAAAGACAAACACTGTATGATATCACTTATACGTGGAATCTTATTTTAAAAGTCAGACTTAAAGAAACAGACTAGAATGGTGGTTGCCAGGGGATAAGGGTGGGGAAAATGGGGAGAGATTGGTCAAAGGGTACAAACTTTCAATTATAAGTAAATTCTGAGGATCTAATGTACAGCATGGTAACTACAGTTAATAATACTGTATTGTTACTTGAAATTTGCTGAGAGAGTAGATCTTAAGTGTTCTCACAAGAAAAAAAGTTACTACATGAGCTGGTGGATGTGTTCATTAATTTGATTGTGAAAATCATTTTACAGTGTATGCGCATATCAAATCATCACATTGTACCCTTTACGTGTATTACAGTTTTGTCAATTATGCCTCAGGAAAGCTGGAAAAAATAAAATAACTGCATTGATCACCATCCATAACATATGCCATACATTTATGGTATAAATTATATAAAAACGCTAAAGAATTTAGTCATCATTTAAAATACTATTCGGAAAAGTTTATATGCAAACATCTTGATAGCTGATTTTTAAAACCTTTTTATCCAAATAATATCAACCGATAGCTCCTGAGTATGAACAAAACGTTGGACACTATGACAAACACTTTACGCATGTGTTCACAAATAACCCCATGAGGAAGGTACCGTCATAATCTCTATGTTACAGATGAGTAATCTGAGGCTGAGGGGGTTAAGTAACATGTCAAAGGCCACACACCCAATAAGTCGTACAACCAGGCAGTCTGATTCCAGAGAACAAACTGTTCATCAAGATGCTATATACTGCTTCCCAGAGGTTTTGACACTTAGTAAACACAACTTGGAAAATCTCCAAACAATATAGGTTTACCTGATTTAAAACCTCTAGGGCTCCTCATTTTGCTGTTGACATGGCCCAAGAGTCTTGGCATCAATTTTTATAAAGACCATTAATTCAATAAACATAAATTATGTTCTCTGAGGGGCTTGGCACTTTACGATTGTACTTTTTCAGTATTGAACCATATGTTATCCTTATGAAGTATATTATTCCAGTAGCGTGAATGAGAAAAAAAGAAACAAAAGGTCAAGGACTTGCTTAAGATTTCAACCTAGTCATTCTAACTCCAAATCTTTGAGTCCTCTTCCAACCTCTTTTCTCCCTCAGCTCTCATATATTATTAGTAACTAAGCCTTACATCCTCCTTTAAAATATCTTGCATCACCTCTTTTCATGTCTTCTACTAAAATTCTAATTCGGGTCCTCAATCTCTTACTCCTAGATTATATTCTCCCTCAGAACTGGCCTCCCTGTCTCCAGTCCTTTCAACACAGCATGTATGTCTTTTGCCTTTGATGGCAGGTGGGATAACTTAATAAATAGTCTCTCTTGCAAAGAGACTTTAAAATATCCTTAGAGGTTCGTGAGAATCAACACCAAAAGCTACATAGATGAAGTTCCTAATATGGGTTATATAAGAGCAAGATTTCAACACTATATTCAGTTGAAAAAGTTTCTCTACTTGCAGTCATACTGGGAGGAAAAAAGAAAAAATGATAATTGAAGAAAAATTTTGATGATGTAGTTCTCTTGTAAATTGGGAACAATGACCCTTGAAGGACCATAAAGAAAGTGAATGTCAAGATAATTTATTATTGTTGCATTATCTACCTCATTTTTCACTTTGTCTTACTGAGCTGTGATATCCTTACAAGGTACCAAATATCCCAAACATTAGTGAACACTTTAACAGTGTATAAAAAGCAAGATAAAAGAGCTGAAACAAAGAGTTGGTGAATTTCTCCTCTACTGTGACTTTAGTATCCATAATCTTAACCAGCATGGGCACTGCAGATGGTTGCTGTACAAGGTCTCAGATTTAGAAGGGAGCTATACGTGTAATTTCCAAAGGTCTGCACCCCTTTCTGAAGCAGGCTGTCCTCGCTTCCCGTGACTGACTGGGCTCCTTTTGTGATTTACATTGGGTTGTTTTGTTTTTTGGTTTTTTTCATTGTAGAAGAGCCAGTTTCTATGCATGTCGGTTGGACAAACATTTATACGTTATTGGTGGACGGAATGAAACTGGCTACTTGTCCAGCGTGGAGTGCTATAACCTAGAAACAAATGAATGGCATTATGTGTCCCCCTTGCCACAGCCTCTGGCAGCTCATGCAGGAGCAGTGCACAATGGGAAAATATACATTTCAGGCAAGTCATTCATCCACTTTGTGTTACAAAGTTCAGTTCCAAGGCATTTTCTTGACTTGTGTGTCTATGCTTAATTCACAGGGGGTGTACACAATGGAGAATATGTCCCATGGCTATATTGCTATGACCCCGTCATGGACGTCTGGGCTCGAAAACAAGATATGAACACAAAACGCGCCATCCACACTTTGGCTGTAATGAATGATCGCTTGTATGCAATTGGAGGAAATCATTTGAAAGGTCTTTTTTTTTTAATCACAATAACATTTGCATCTCATGTTTCTTGCTAAGGGGGTTTCTCGTTAGATAATCATAGTTTACCAAGTAAAAAGGTTGACCAAATGAAATCTACTCTTTGCAAATTAGCAGTACCCTTGGGCAAGCACTTATTTTGGCTCTCCTGCAGATAGGATTATTTTGAAGTTACCACATACATTAAAGAAATGAATAATGATGTCTACAGAAAATTTAAAAAACTAGAGCATTAATAACTGAAAAGCACAATTTTTTGTAACAATGAATTCAGTAAAATAAATTATTCCTTATCACCAAAATTATAGTAATGGATTTTTTCCAGAAAATTGTTTTTGTAATAATCATAAAGAACTTTAGTCAGAGAAGCACAAAGAAGCGTGTATGTGATTTTTCTTAAAGAAAACAGAATTTCATGTCTAAATTTAGAATTATTTCTTTGAAGAGTTGAATATCAAGCTATCTATGATTCTCAATTCTTTCCATTTGCTTTTTTAATCAGTAACATTTAAAGCAGAGTCTTTTTAGGGCCATATTTTGGCTTGTTTCCCTCCTCGTGTATGTATGTGACTGCAACTTTTTTGTAGTTTGTGTGCATGTGTGTAACGCTGAATTTGACAGGAAAGCGGAGAGACCTGTGATACTGAGAACATCATTGAACTGCTTTGAGCTTCCGTTTTCCCATCTGAAAATGAAGAAGGTGGTCAAGTTGTTCTCTAAAATCTCTTCCAGCTCTGACTGTCCATGATCTTTGAAATTGAACAAAGTGAGAAACAGGCCATCTGGGTATGGCACATAAGGCGATTCCGTGCATTTATTTTCCAGTCATATACCCATCTTAAACCATGAGTTAGATATAGACATTTTTTCTCTTTTTCATAATACATATTTACCCCTAACTGTAATAAATACTGGACAAGTATAATTTTTAAATAAGTATTTCCAAGTTCCTATTCAATCAGAAATGACAATATTCTGGTCTAGATCTGCTTCTCACCTTAGAGGTGTCCTCAGTGGAAGGGAATTTATCTTTACTGTTTCAGACGCTTCCCATTTCATTCTTTTTTGCTTTCACTGGTGCTCTTTCATTTCAATCCATACTCCATTCATTCCTTTACATCAACGTATTTTATATTAACTTTGTAGCTTTCTGCATTAAAAAATGACTTCTACTAACTTCTTTTGCACAAGAATGCCTCATATTTTAGGAACTTTTAGTATTTAAGGTTATACTTGGACAGAAAAGACTTAGGTAATGACAATCTAAATGAAAAATAGCACATGCACATCAGAATTAGGTTAGCTCAGGAAAACATTGTGAAAGGGGGAAAGAGTATGGATTTTGCATCTAAGCCTGGGTCTGAATCCCGGTTATGTACTTAGAGTTGTGTGATCTTACTGTAGACATTTACCTCGTGTCTGTAAAAAAGGGGTAATTATCCTTTCCTTGGTAATTGTGAGGGTTATAGTCAACGTATGTACTCGGTACAGAGAAGGCACACATATCCTCATAGATGCCACTAGGGAAACTTGCCCAAATCCCCATTTCATATAAATGCTTCAACAATTATCATCAAACTCTTAATGTTAAAGGAAAGGATTACATCACAGGGTCGCAGTAAGCACATTGCTGTGTTGCTCCCTTATGTGATTTATTTTATGTAAAAAGTTAGTGGCCTGCGCATAGCACAGGGAGATCAGCTCGGTGCTTTGTGACCGCCTGGAGGGGTGGGATAGGGAGGGTGGGAGGGAGGGAGACGCAAGAGGGAAGTGATATGGGAACATATGTATATGTATAACTGATTCATTTTGTTGTAAATCACAAGCTAGCACACCATTGTAAAGCAATTATACTCCAATAAAGATGTTAAAAAAAAAAAAAAAGTTAGTGGCCTGAAATAGTCTGTCCACCACTTCAAGAGTGAACATTTTTCTGATTTGTGGTCTATCTCTTTAATTACTTTGAAGAGGCCGGTATGTTGACTAATTTACCATATGTGTTGTGATTGTCAGCTAGCCAACATCCATAGCATGTGTTTAACCATTAAAAAAAAAAAAAAGTCCTTAAGGGTTTGGTCTGCTCGGTGACCCTGAAGCGCCCATTAAGGATTTTTCACTCCCTAAATGAAAGGCAGGGCTTCAGTGGAGTCTGGGGAAATGAGTTGTTCTCTGCAACCTAGTTACTGCTCCAGCCACTGAGAAATTTTATCAAAAGTGGGAAGAGTCTTTCAGAGGATGATAGCCCCCTACTCTAAACCTGGATCCTTAGTAGATACTGGAAACCATTCACATCATCGCAGCTGTTTATACATATAGTCAGACTGTAAAAAAAAGAAAAAAAGTAAAAGATTTTGAGAGAACTGAATATCCACTTAAGAAAAGCAATAAAGTTTAGTCTGTAAAAGTGTGACCTTTGAAGCCTGTTCACCCGGATTCAAATATCAGCCTATCTAATGGCCGTATGACTAACTCAGGTCATTAACTCCCTCTGTTCCTCAGTTTCTCCTCTATAAAATGAATATAATGGTATCTATAGGATGCTTGAGGGGGTTAAATGAGCTCCTTTATACAAAGCACCTAGAAAACAACAGCTTATTGTAAGCAGTCTATAAAATGCTTGCTTTAGCTATTACTATTTTAAATCTTTTTAAATAAGGTTTAAATAAACCTTTATTGATACTCCAAGGTAAATCAGCTTCTACCAATGACATCTAGCCAGGCATTTTTGCTTTGAAGAAATCCAAAGCATCCAGGGTTGGAGTGTCGGTGTCGAGGTGGAGTGGCGGGGGGGGGGGGGGGTTGTCTGTTTGTTTCTTAGGTCTTTCCGACATGTCTCCCAATTTCACCAGTCAGCTTATACATGTGTCTTCAAAGACACAATTATCTACTTCTTGGCCCTAGTCCTTTTGCAAAAAGAAGCCCTAGCCTTAAATTGGGACCCTGAGAGTTTATTCTTTGGTGACTCCATTTTGCTATGTCACTTAGGTTTCTCCCACCTCGATGTAATGCTCGTGGAATGCTATGACCCAAAAGGTGACCAGTGGAATATTCTCCAGACTCCCATTTTGGAGGGTCGCAGTGGTCCTGGCTGTGCAGTGCTAGATGACAGCATTTACCTTGTGGGAGGCTACAGCTGGAGTATGGTAAGTGTCCACATTTATCTCCTCCTCCTTTTTATTTGTGCTTCCTTTTTGTTTCTCTCCAAATGTGTTACCACCCACACAAGTACCTTTTAAGAGTAACATGTTTATACGCACGCAGTAAATTGCTTTAAGCTGTAAAATAAACTCAGTGCGGTCGCTGTAGAGCTGTCTTGCTATCTGGTCAATTGTATCCAGTAGCTTGCTGCTTCCCTCCCACCCCCATGCTCTCCAACTAAAAGTCGGACTGAAGTGGTTTTTACAAACGTTCTATTAAAACTGTTTGACTGGGAGAGTGAAAAGTTTCTGACCAGCTAAGCATAAAAAATGGAAATTAATTGTTCAGTTACCCACAAATTCTATTTAGGATTATGTAATTTGCCATTGCTTTCCACTTTCCCCTCACTTTATGATGAAAATTTCTAAACATACACAAAAACTGAGGGTTCAATGGGCCCTTATTAACGCACCATCCAACTTTGACATCCATCAGTGCTTTGCAGTACTTACTTCATCTGCCCTCCCTTTGAAAAATTTTGGTTGAAGCAATTTGAAGCAAATTCTAGACATGTTATTTCACCCTAAATTCTTCAGTATTCCTCTAAAAAAAAATCACTTGTTTATGTAAACACACTATCATTATCACACTCAGTAAAATTAACAATAATTCCTTTATATGCAATCCATTTTCAAGTTTATCCCATTGACTTGAATAAAAATGTATTTTTCAAAGTGATATGTTCAAATCAAGATCCAAGAAGTCTCACTTGGGGGCTTCCCTGGTGGTGCAGTGGTTGAGAGTCCGCCTGCCGATGCAGGGGACACGGGTTTGTGCCCCGGTCCGGGAAGATCCCACGTGCCGCGGAGCAGCTGGGCCCGTGAGCTGTGGCCGCTGGGCCTGTGCGTCCGGAGCCTGTGCTCCGCAACGGGAGAGGCCACAACGAGAGGCCCGCGTACCGCAAAAAAAAAAGTCTCACTTGTATTTGGTTATTATATCTCATACATCTCTTACAATCTGGAGGATTGCTCCTGCCCCTCTTCCTGTCCCATGCCATTGTCTTGTTAAAAAGCAAGGTCAGTTATCTTATAGAATATCTGATACTCTCGAATTGCCTAATGATTTCCTATGTTGTCATTTAAAAATAGTCCTCTGTCTCCCTATTTCCTATAGACTGGAAGCTAGAGATAAGGGCTTAAGTTCAGCTTTTCTCTGTTTTTTAAATTTTTTTTGTTATTTATGTACCATTTATTTATTTATTTATTTGTCTATTTATTTTAGCGAGAACACGTAAGGAGGTGGCTGTGTAATTCAAATAACATCACATCAGAAGACACATAGGGTCTAATGGTCTACACAGTCACTTTTTAAATGATGACCGTTCCTATATTTTCCTATTTATGTGTGTTGGTTTTATAAGATTAATTTGGGATTTTAATAATATTAATTAGTTTTATTTCTTTTGCATCCAACAAGATTGTTATATAAAGTTTGGAGGAGCTTTAAAAAGCTATTAGTTATTTGGAAGTGAATGTGTATTGACATATATCACTAGGTATTGGTACATGTGCTCTTTCGCTAGTGGAAATTGATAGCTGCAAGAGTAGGTATGTTTAGAACCAGACACCAGGAATACACTTTCAGAAAACGATTATGTTGGTTGGGATTTTTGTTTGTTTCTTGCCTATGGTAAAAACAAAGCTGCTTTGGTTTAGGAAGAGAAATATTATACAAGCACTAGCCTCAGAGGTTGACAAAGGAAACAAGATTAAAGACATTTTTTATTTCTCGTGTGGCCTTTTCAAAATAAGTAAGTCAATGTGTGAAGAAGTTGGCACGTCTTCATTTCCAGTTTATTTTAAACTGGTTTTGAACCCCATCTCTGATTCTCTATAGTAGTAAGATAAAAATGGAAAAGTGAGGTGACAATCTAAAATCCAATTTACTTCTTTTATTTGAATATTTAAGATAGGGCTTCCCTGGTGGCGCAGTGGTTGAGAGTCCGCCTGCCGATGCAGGGGACACGGGTTCGTGCCCCGGTCCGGGAAGATCCCACATGCCGTAGATCGGCTGGGCCCGTGAGTCATGGCTGCTGGGCCTGCGCATCCTGAGCCTGTGCTCCTCAACGGGAAAGGCCACAACAATTAGAGGCCCGCGTACCGCAAAAAAAAAAACAAAACAGAATATAAAAGATAAATTTTTTTTAAAACTTAAACCAGAGGGATAATTTCCAACTTGAGGTAAGTTATCATAAGGGATTTATAAATCATCTAGGGTGTTGTAGGTGCTTGACTTTTATTAGTAGCCACACACCCATACAAAAACCCAGATTTTGAAATCTTGCCAATCCCAAATTTTTCCTTAGAGTACAATGGTTTAAGATCCATTGCTTTCATTTGGAATTTTTTTAGCAAGCGCAGAGAAAAAATATTGTCTTCTTTATGTAAATGTGATAAATAAGCTTGCTGTGGTAATTCTCTAAAGGCTCGCTTCTCTACCATTCCAGGGAGCCTACAAGTCATCTACAATATGCTATTGTCCAGAAAAAGGCAGCTGGACAGAACTTGAAGGAGACGTAGCAGAACCACTGGCAGGCCCAGCCTGTGCAACAGTTATCCTGCCTGCCTGTGTACCTTACAACAAATAACACCAGGAAACCCTGGAATGAACAGTATCGCATTCTAGGAAGCAATGACAGGTGACATCCCTATTATAATAGGAACAATACATCCTAATGGTACAACTGCCGAAACTCCATTCTTGGTTTCTGATGATTTACAAGAAGCTACAAAAGAAGAAGACCTGTCCTTGAACAGGTACTCTGTCTGTAACTCGGATTACACCGAACTTCCTGTGGTGATAGACTCTTCCGTTTCAGACTGGTTTTAACTTGTCCCAGCTTTATAAAAACTCCTCACATGGATCTCAACTTTCAAAAGGAGAAAGATAAAATACAGGAGAGTGCCCCCCAGAGAGACCTAAGATCAGTATTGTGCATTGTAGTCTACCTGCATGTGATCTGTGTTGAAGTTTTGGGGATATTGTGTTCATGAATGATGCAAAATTTGACCCACCAAAAGACTCACACTGCATTACAGAAATTGCCACTTGATTCTGTATTCCTAACCTGTGGCGACTTCACAGATTCCGTAGGCAACACAGTTATAGAAAATCATAAAAGATTAAAGAGGAACATTTTTGTTTCCATATAACTTCATTTCATATACCTTTTGCCCCTTACAGCACCTCGTGGGAATGTAGAAGAGAAAGATATTGGCTCTTGTAGCAATTGCTTTCTGCCCTGTAGGTTCCAGGCTAGCCAGAGTCATAATTTCTGTGTCCTCAGTTTTATCCGAAAGATTAAGACAAAATACGGTGTGTCACCATTCAGTTTATAGAGGCTCACTCTTTCTCATTTGGAGCAGCATATTAAGTCATGAATACACCTTGTCTTTGCTTCGAAAATATAGGACTGACAAAGACAGTCATGCAATATTGAATATTCTGTAAATAGCACATCTGGCCCAAACTTAACCCCTAATGAAAACTGAGAGATTGCTTTCGGAAATTCAGGGACGAAAAGACAGATTTCTCTGAAGAACTGTCCCCTTTTCTCTCTGTCCCTAAAACACACAACTTGAAGAGCCTCAGGAGCAAACCATAGCTCCTAACAAAATACCTCCCCCTCTTCCTCACCTTCAGCTCTAAAAAAAGCTCTAGATATGGCTCTAGAAAAGCCCATGACGGACCCTCCTTCTTTCCCGCAACTCATCACATTTCTTTGTTATCACCAGAGACGCCTGGGCTCAGTTAAGCGAGCAATAGCTAGCTGCCTTGAGAAGCATGAGAAATTTAAGAGCAGAAGGTCAGGAGAGCATGAGACAGTGTCCATGCGGCCCATCAAAAGAGAAAAACTAGCAGGAACACGGATTTGCTTTTCAAGCTCTTCAGAGCTGGCACAACAATAGTTAGGAATAAATCAAAGCCTAAAATATTTTGTGAATCACCCAGAGATGTTGTTGAATCCCTCAACAAGTGTGTCTTTCAAAAACAACCTCACAGGGAAGCCACAGGTTAAAAATGTCTTGGTGATAAGTTTTCACCGTGGAGCATGTCCAGATGGATGGGTGTACTAGAATCCAATGCCGTTTCTACAGTAAAGTGCAATCTTTGTTGTTTTTGTATTTATTTGTATGTTCAGATCCAAAGGATCCGTTGTAAAAATATATATATAAATATATATATATCCAGTGCAATCAACTTTCATTTCTTTTTTCCTTGATCGCATATGAGTATATAGAAAAAAAGAAAAGTTACAGTACTTTGTGAGAAAATCCCATCTGACGTCATGAGGAATACAAGGTCTCCTTCAAAACCTTTTATCGTCAATGGTCCCCATTTCTTCTGAAAGTCACCATTTATACAAGGGTATTTGCTTTCCTTGGACTTGTTCATTTAATTTTTATTTCTAGCCAAAATAAATAAAAGCATTTATGAGAACTATAAGCAAAGCTTTCTGTATTTCAGAAAGGCACAAACTATTAGAAAGTGAAAAGTGAATAAATAAGTCACAGAGAATGTAAATTTTGTACAGTATTAGAATGTGTAAATGAAGCTTGCTTGGAAGGGGAAAACTTTAAATAAAAACTTTATGTACTAATTCAACTGTCTCTCCTATTCTGACTTATAAAGCATGTTTATAAATCTACACATTAACTTGTTTGAAGGTTTGTAATAGGTAAATGCATAAATATTTTTATTCTGCAGATATACTTTACAAGTTTATTTAGCTTCCTGGCAGTATGTAGTATGTACGTAGTACAAACAATGTTAAAAATTACGGAATGTTTCAGAGAAAAGTGTTGTGAGTTAAAAATCATGAATTGAATCTGGTTTTTCCACTGTAAGAGTGTTGCAATAAGGCATACTTAAGATCTGATAACCAAGTATTTATAGAAATTGTTAGAAGCACCATATGCGTTAAACAATACTTGCACCCTTAGGATAAATGAATCCCATATTTAATTAGGTCAATTATCTAAAAATATAGTGTTCCATTTTACTTCCTTTTTAGAAATCTGGAAAAGAGGCTGTGCAGGGCAAGGAAAGGACTGGGCTATGGAAGACAATAGGAGTAACTGAGGCACGTGGCTGCAGGTTTGGGCAAGCTTCCAGGTAAAGAGCCTGAAAGCTAGAAAGAACTTAATGCTTCCCAGCCAAATATTCCATTATTAATGATTAAACTGATAATTAGAGGGTCATTTGACCCTCTGTAGTATTCTACAGAAGCAAGAGTAATGGAGTTTCTTTTGCCCACTGAATCTTCAGCTCTCCATGCTAGTGTAGCATAGCAGAAAAGGCCCTTCTTTATAGTAGCTTCTTATCCTGAACCAATGGCTAGTTGTTGCAGAACTTCTTTCATATACTGTGAAGCTCCAAAAGCTATAGTGCTGACCAGTTATCATGATCAGTTAAGCAAATATACTTGGCCTTTTCCTAATCCCAAGGAATCACCTATTTTAAGTTCATAACTAAACTAAAACTGGCTAAGCTTGGAGGAGTGAGTATAGGACCAGATTTTTTAATTACTTAGGCTGTGTCTGTGGTCTTAAAATTAGTACCTGTGTTTGTTCTCCCCTGTAAGGGCCAAATTTCTATTTTCCTAGCTGCTTGACACTTACATCACTTAACAAACTCATCATTATCAACATTGTAATACCAAGTATTTATTGAACATATCCCAAAAGGCATCACTGTAAATGCCAGGCTTCTGATTAAACCTGGTTCTCTAGGTTAAAATATTTTTAAATGAACAAGCAAACCAGCTAAAATAAGGTTGGTAAAGCATACCAAAGCCAATTAATACACACCGCTGGGTATCTTAACAGACTGAGTTCCCGTAGATGAGGTAGGAGGAAGACCATGACTGATCAAGCCTGACTTTCTAGAAGCGCCTGACCTAGAAGATGTTGGAACTTTGGTGGAAAATAAAATGGCAATAAGAAGCAGCAGAAAGGGCCATATAAGAAGAAAATAGGACTTCCCTGGTGGCATAGTGGTTAAGAAGCCACCGGCCAATGCAGGGGACACGGGTTCGAGCCCTGGTCAGGGAAGATCCCACATGCCACGGAACAACTAAGCCCGTGCGCCACAACTACTGATCCTGTGCTCTAGAGCCCTCAAACCACAACTACTGAGCCCGCGTGCCACAACTACTGAAGCCCACGCACCTAGAGACTGTGCTCCACAACAAGAGAAGCCGCCGCAATGAGAAGCCCGCACACCACAACAGAGTAGGCCCCGCTCACCACAACTAGAGAAAAGCCCACACACAGCAACCAAGACCCAATGCAGCCAAAAATAAATAAATAAATTTATATTAAAAAAAAAAGAAGAAAATATCCAAGTAGTTAGTCTGTTTGATTTGTATAGCTGTAAAGGGCTGCTCTGCATCAAGCATTAAATATGGGCCACATATTGGGGGGGGTTTCTTAATGGCGTTATTGGCTGGCTCTATTTGGTGCAAAAACACAGGGTTCAGTTCTAGAGATAGGTCCTGATAATGTGCTTCAAGAATGCAGCACAATGGGCTAGGACTAAGGAAAAAGTCTTCTGCAAATTGAAGCTTGAGTGGCTTATTCCATTCTATTCCAGGCTGTTGCCTAGCATATATTAAGGACTTGGTAAATGTCAGTTCTTAACACTAACACGAGTAGCAGCATTACCTTCGTGTTTTCAGCTCACTGAAGATGTTCAAAACAAGATGGCTGCAGTCAGTTGACATTTAAGACTGTCTATTCAGGCTCAGGGGAATTATATCACTTCAGGCAAAGTGATCCTTGATTGTGACCTCTCCTTCCATTTTTTCACTTATTAAGTGGACTTTTCCTCTGTGACCTTCCAAATCCCCTACGCACAAAAAAATGACATATGGCAATAGGCAGGAGGGAAGGTGAACATTTGGCTGCAGGACGGAGGCATCCTAAATTTACAGAGAAGGCAGCCTCCTGGCTTCCCATCAAGTCCCTCAGATCTGGGCCATTTGGGAAGTGATTGAACTAAATTAGGGAAAAGGAATAGGGTTTAGTTATGAATTCAAAGTTATATCAGCAATATTATAACAAACATAACACTTCCACTAACTTCACGTTTGTTATGGGCCAGGCATTCTACTAGGCATTTTATACATGTTTTCTTATTTACTCCTCTAAACAGCTCTATAAAGTAAATGTTAGTTGTATGTGAAAGGTAAGGACACGTGCTCAGAAAGGGTAAACTATCTGATAAAGTTAAACAGCTCATAGGTAGCAGAACAAGGATTCAGACTAAGGCGTTAATCTTAGGCCACCTCAAACCACCATACTCTCCTGCTCACAAAATAAATTTCTTAATCATTTGAAGTCTCATAGGAATTCCTGGTAGATTGACTGATTTTTCCAAATGCAAATAGGACATGTTGGAGGGGAAAGTGAACAATTAATGATGGTGCATTATGGCAAATGCTATATTGTTGTTCTGAATGAACCACTGGAAAGAGTGACCAGGGGAAGGAACTTGCTCTGTGACACTGGGGAATCATTTAGTCTCTCCAACTTCAGTTTTGTCATCTGTATATGGAGTGATAATCTCATCTTCAAAACATTACTGGGAAAATCATATGTAAAGAATGTGGAGATGAGACCTTCAAGTTGGCAGAGGAGTAAGACGTGGAGATCACCTTCCTCCCCACAAATACATCAGAAATACATCTACATGTGGAACAACTCCTACAGAACACCTACTGAACACTGGCAGAAGACCTCCGGCCTACCAAAAGGCAAGAAACTCCCCACTTACCTGGAGAGGGCAAAGGAAAAAACAAAAATCAGAGACAAAAGGATAGGGATGGGACGTGTACCTCTGGGAGGGAGCTGTGAAGGAGGAAAAGTTCCCACACACTAGGAAGCCCCTTCACTGGCAGGGATGGCAGGTGGGCAGGCAGGAAACTTCGGAGCCATGGAGGAGAGCACAGCAACAGGGGAGCAGAGGGCAAAGGGGAGAGATTCCCACACAGAGGATCGGTGCTGACCAGCACTCACCAGCCTGAGAGGCTTGTCTGCTCACCCACTGGGGCGGGTAGGGGCTGGGAGCTGAGGCTCAGACTTTGGAGGTCAGATGCCAGGGAGAGGACTGGGGTTGGCTGCATGAAGACAGCCTGAAGGGGACTAGTGTGCCACAACTAGCCAGGAGGGAGTCTGGGAAAAAGTCTGGAACTGCCAAAGAGGCAAGAGATCATTGTTTCAGGGTGCATGAGGAGAGGGAATTCAGAGCACCACCTAAACAGGCTCCAGAGATGGGAGCGAGCCATGGCTATCAGCGTGGACACCAGAGACGATCATGAGAAGCTAAGGCTGCTGCTGCAGCCACCATGAAGCCTATGTGCAAGCACAGGTCACTAGCCACACCTCCCCTCCTGGGAGCCTGTGCAGCCCGCCACTGCCAGGGTCCCGGGATCCAGGGTCCCGGGATCCCACTTCCAGGGTACCCTGGGAGAACACATGGCGCACCTCAGGCTGGTGCAACATCATGCTGGCCTCCACTGCCCACAGGCTTGCCCCGCATTCCGTATTCCTCCCTCCCCCCT